GCTGGTGGCCACCTCGTGCCTGGAGATCCTGCTGTGTGGGGTGCAGGTGATGAACGCAACCATTGGTATCTTCTGTGGCGATTGCAGGAAGAAGGAGGTAGGATGACGTGGAGCAGAGCTTTAGAGGGAAACTTCTTGCTTCCCAACTGCGTCCTTACGTTCTCTCTTCCACAGCACACCTCTCACTGAGGTTCCACTGACTGTTTTGCTCGCTTCTGGACACCCGCTTGGCCCGCCCCAGCCCTGGAATGAATTGTTTTGAGCTCTCATGAGCATCTCAGATTGTGCCCTATGCAAGGAGGCCTCCACATATGCCCGGGCTTGGGGCTCTCCTGCTTGTGGCGCCTGCACTCTGCTTGCTGTTTTCTTATCAGTTATTGAGCTATTGTGCACTGGAAATACAGTAGTTAACAAGACAGGCGAATTCTGTGCCCTCAAAGAATTTAATATTCCAGGGGTGGAAGATGGCCAATTTTTAAGAGAGGCAATAGATTACTTCAATAGGTGATATGCACTTTTAAAAAAATGCGTTTATAATGCGATACATATTGACTGATGTAGGGACTTTTGAAAATAAGAAAAAGTCCACGAAAGTGAAATTGGAGCTGAAATCTGGTGCATGGGACTAATCGTCTGGATAACTAGGGTTTTCCAGGCAGAGAGAACAGCAAGGACAAAGATCCTAAACAGGAATCAGTATGTAGAAAAGCCACCGTTTGAGCTTTGTAGTGTGTGTGTGTGGGGTGGGGGGGAGTATAGAAAAGACACATTAGCCAGTTAAGCTCTAGAAAATAAAGCCTGAAAGCATTATAATGACACCTCTCAATTCAGTAGAAGTTTCTTAATCTGAGGTCACTGGTGGTTCAGAAAAGAAACAACCTGGGTTCTTAATGGGGACAATGTGTCTGCAGACACCCTCAGAAAGCCAAGGACTTCAACTTGCACGCAAAATTGTGTTCAAGTGCGTTTTTCTGGACTATAGGTCAGGAATTTTCAGTAGCCTGCCATGGACTCCTGAGACCAAACCTGAATTTCAGCTTGGCCCAATGCTAAATTAGGAGGAAGACAAGGAAATGCAATTTCCTACCCCTAAAACAAGTGAGACCAAAGCCAAGACAAGAGAAGCTTTATTAGCTGGATGTGGGACAAACCAGAGGTGGAGCCAGGGAGAGGGCAGTGAAGGTGTCAACTTCGGCAGCAGAAAAAACGCAGGTCATTAACCGCGGTGTCATCACGGAGGCCTCTAGGCTGCTCAATCTTAATCTGCAAGCCGCAGATGCCTTTAGGACATGGTTCACTCCAGTTTCCAAAGTCTCCCCAGGCCAGGCCAGGCCCCTCCAGCTCTGTGCTGTCCGAACAGCGGAAGCGCACGTTGTTCGCAGCTGTGTTGTCCCCAGGGATAACAGGCGCCTCCACGCGAAGCGAGAAAGCCACGAGGAAGCTGCCAAAGGGACACCACAACGGCTCGCTCCACGCTCCCCACCTGTGAGAGAAGGAGAGACGCACCGGCTTTGCGGTTACCCCCTACCCCACCTTGAGATTCTCACCCAGGTGCTACACGACCCCGGTGGGTTGGGTCTAGTCGCCAAGGTGCGGAGATAAGGTCTTCCACCTACTTCCCAGATCTAAACTGACCCACAGCTCCGGAGGAACCTTCCAGCTGGGGTAAGGAGCATACCCCACGCTAGAGGATGCTTGCCCTTGCCCCCTACCTTCCAGACTGGGACTCCACTACGTGCTCCGCATTCCCTCGCGTGCAGTGCAGCCGGACCCCGTTCATTGCCGTGTCATCCCAGGAATGC